GGACTCGTGTTCTATGTCAAGATATTCTACAGCTAAAACTGCGTTAGATTTATATATGTATATATATGCCCGCTATAAGATAGTGAGTGTATCTTGAGGTTATCTTGTGATGTTTTCGGGGCTTTTTAGTGTCCCCGCGGCCCGGTCCTCGACCAGGCCTCCACCCCCAGGAAGCAGCCCGTGACAGCTGACTAACACCCAGGTACCTATTTTACTGCTAGGTAACAGGGGCATAGGGTGAAAGAAACTCTGCCCATTGTTTCTCGCCGGCGCCTGGGATCGAACCCAGGACCACAGGATCACAAGTCCAGCGTGCTGTCCGCTCGGCCGACCCGGCTCCCTACCGACCGTATGGTAATATTTTCTGCAGGAAAGTCTGGAGAGTTAGTGATGGCGCTTAAGTAAGGTCTTTGGGTAACTAACTAAAACACGCTTTATGTAAGTACCAAGTCAACTCACGTTCAGCTGTGCCAACCACCCTCCCCCCCCCCCCCACTCACCACTACAACTTGACTCATTCTATAATATCAACCAAACTCAATACAGTTAAACCAACCCAATTCACCTTAATTAGTACCAACCCAACTCTCATGCAGAAATACCAACCATATTCAGATGCAGTAGTACCAACCCAACTGGCATGCACCTGGTGCCAACCATCACAATACGGTGATACCAACTAAATTCTCAGTGCTAATACCACCTCTCACAAAAGTTAAACCAACCCACTCTAGCGTTTACGCAGTGATTCCAAGTTATAATATTAACAAAAAATCTACGGGAAAAACAATGTTTCCACGCCAACACATGCAGACAACATGCAGTATTACCAACCCAACTGTCAGCCAGGATAAACCCACAACAGGCAGTAGGATCAACATATTCACCTTTTTTCTTGGAGGACTTGCTCTTAGGCCGTTCAGGAATGAGCCCGGTGGTGTCTGAAATAGAATCATCGGGTTTAAGGTGAGGCGCGTGCTTTAAAGGACTTCCTCTGGTGGCAGGAACATCAACTACGTCAAGTTATCAACTCGGGGACAAGAACTAGTAGTGTAGGCTAGTACTAGTACTAGTGTAACTAGTAATATAAGCGCTACACTGACACTACTCAACATAGCAAGCGCAGCAAAGCACTCGCACACATAGCAACACCTGCTTCAATGATAACTGGAGCATTACACTGATAACTATGGCACTATACAGGTAACTATGGCATTATATAGGTAACTAGGGCACTATATAGGTAACTAGGGGCACTATACAGGTAACTGGGTCATTACATTGATATCAAATGCACTATGCTGGTAACCGATACGCTATACTAATAATTAATCAACTTTTCTGATACCTAATACACTTACTGATAACTGATATGCTACACTGATACCTAATGCAGTAAACTAATAACTAACACTCTTTACTAATAACTGATTCCTTACACTGATAATGCAAAACACTGCAATTTATATATATATATGAATATATATATTCACATACACAAGACGACCAGAGTTAAAAAATAAGGAGTACAGCCAAAGGATTTTCAACTCTTGGGGTCTATATCAAAGGTAGATCGGGGAGAGTGGGAAGCTGAGACAGTTATACAAGAACCAGCCCTGGGAACTGGGACCCCTGGGAGTGCGAGAGTGTGCACTCATCGCAGACAAGGAAGGTCAGACAAGAAAGGTCAGACAAGGAAGGTCAGACAAGGAAGGTCAGACAAGGAAGGTCAGACAAGGAAGGTCAGACAAGAAAGGTCAGACAAGAAAGGTCAGACAAGGAAGGTCAGACAAGGAAGGTCAGACAAGGAAGGTCAGACAAGGAAGGTCAGACAAGGAAGGTCAGACAAGGAAGGTCAGACAAGGAAGGTCAGACAAGAAAGGTCAGACAAGGAAGGTCAGACAAGGAAGGTCAGACAAGGAAGGTCAGACAAGGAAGGTCAGACAAGGAAGGTCAGACAAGGAAGGTCAGACAAGAAAGGTCAGACAAGGAAGGTCAGACAAGAAAGGTCAGACAAGAAAGGTCAGACAAGGAAGGTCAGACAAGGAAGGTCAGACAAGGTCAGACAATATGTAAACAAAAAGACACTGACAGGAAAGCAGGAATTAAGGAGTGGAACTAGTGAAGAGGGAGGAAGAACAGGGAAGATAATGAGGAAATTAATAATATCACTCAAAACATATGCGAGAATGCCTCGATAAGTATTATTCAGGGTAATGAGAAATAAGATTATCAAAGTTATCCTTATCAAGCAGATGTGTTAGGAAGAGGTCTACACAGAAAATCCGAATGAATATATTTTCTTGGTTAATCAATGACACGTTTGGCAAGAGTACTGTATAAGATTTATGTGCAGTTTTTATTACAAAATTATGTTGAGAAAGCATTTTTACAACTATGCATTTTTTGTTACACAGTTCATGACCCTTGTGTCTGATTTCTGCACTCTTTCTCCTCCCATGTTCCACTTCCCATGAAGGATCTTGTACAACTATCCCAG